GATATAATAAAGTGGTCAAACATTACATAGATTTGGGACGTATTGTAACGAATCTAAATGAACGCAAGTATTCATCGAATATAGAGTTCTTTCGAGATGTAAGACACGATTGTGTGGAACCAATTGATGACAACTTAATGATTATTTGTTTGGTCCCAATCACAGGTCTTATTGATGATAAATAACGCCGTTTTCTATAATAATTGCGATTCACCGGAGTATAAGGCGTGCCAATCGTTGGCCGTATTCTTCGAGCAATTGGTGGGCGAGTGTGGCATTGATTTGCGACGACTGTCCGTTCGGTCCAAACGCTGCTGATGTCCAGATGGGCTCAACCGGTAAACCGACGGCTATTATAATTATTTAAATCTATTATAACTACCGTAACTTTTAAGCGCATGTTTTTTAGTGAATAAATAACTGTAATTTGGGATCTTTTAACTGTTTTTAGGCAAATAGTAATAAATCATTTGTTTTAGTTAAACGTTAATCCATTTCCAAACCATTATTTTCGTACTTCTCTCTAAATGGCATGTATTTAATAGTTAACGTTATATTACAAACTGTATTACATTTAACGCAATGTTATTACACTATTTTATTAGAGCTGTTATATAATTAGTTAATCAAAATATATTGTATTAATATACTCTAAATGGCATGTATTTAATAGTTAACGTTATATTACAAACTGTATTACATTTAACGCAATGTTATTACACTATTTTATTAGAGCTGTTATATAATTAGTTAATCAAAATATATTGTATTAATATTTATCTCTTTTCTCATTCATTCATTCAATTGTCAATCATTTGCTGTAAAATTCATTTATACCGTAAGGAATGTCACAAACAAAACAAAAAAAGTAATTTTAGCATTAGATATGACATGTTTTATTGATTTAATTGTTATCAAAAGTTATATTTAAATGAAAACTATATTTTAAACACAACGGAAAACACGAATGAAATGTCGGGTAAAACATAAACACATTATTTCGATGAATGAAATATATTTTTAATAAATTAAAATAATGTTTATTTCGGGCGAACACTTAAGAAACCGCTTGTGTTTGAAAAGTACTTAGCGTTGGCCTCATTGACGCGGGTTTCGGCCGCCTGTGGGTTCACGATCTCGAGGCCCTGCAGTGGCGTAAAGGCCACACTCGAAGCCGTGCCCGAGACCTGACGCTTGACTGTAGTGCTGCCGCCGTAAGTCTGGTTCTGTTTCTGTAGATTCTTGTGCAGTGTCTTCGAGATGCGAACTTTGGTCTTCTCGTCGACAGTGGGAGCCCTGATCTTCCCGGTGCCCGAGCGGCCCATTTGGCCCGTTGTGAAGCCGAGGTCGTCCTGATAGGCGTCGTCCTCGATGTCGCCGAACGTCATTCGATTGGCCTGTTTTCGGAGATCCGTTATAACGAGTCGTTCTTTGAGTTTACGGATCCGTTTGCCGCCGCGTTTCTTCTGCGGCTGGTCGATGGGCGTCACCAAAGCCTTCACCTGTTTGACGGGCGGCGGCTCTTGGAGTTTATCCAATTGGCGCTCAATTTTGTCCCGAAACTGACGCCCAATGGAGCCATCGCTGGCCGCGTGCGAGGCGTCCACTCGCGCCGCTATCGTCGCCTTATTGGCCACAAGTCGGGCCGCTTTTCGGCGCAGATCTGGCGGCGAGTCCTGAACCAAATCGGTTAGGAATACAAACCCCGTGTGAGGCATAATCGCCGACGAAGAGAAACCGCTGAGTGTCCGGCGCTGAGAGCCCAACACTTCCAGATTACATGACGGCATCTTCGATAGGTTAGTCAGACCGCCCGCCAGACCCATCAGTTTAGCCGCAATCGACGCGCCGGCGATCGCTATGTAATCAAAATGATTATAGAGTTGTAATTACAGTATTAGTCAATAAACGATTAGATTTTGGTGCGAATAATACCCGAAAGGTTGGGCGCAATGAACGACATCCGCGACTCCACGAACTCATAGATCTTGAGCTTAAAGTTATTCAAATCGATGGCTATATCACACGCTTCGGTGATATAGTGGAGCTCATCGTCGGTGAGTGTGAGTCCCTGAGTGGTAGAGGCGGTGACGGACACCACCATAATCGTGGCCTGAGTCAAGAACTGTGCCATCACTTCGTTGGTCTTGGCTTTGTTCAAATCGTTGCCCAACTCTCTCACAGTCATCACGTACTCGAGCGCCGACGGAACCAATGACTCCAACTCCGGGAACCGTTTGGCGTACTTATCCCTCACAAACTTATGGACAATATTGATGTCATTGTCGATCTCGACCGCCATATTGTTGGCGTCGACTATCAGTTTGTACTCCGGATGTGACTCTACGGGACCGTCGATCTGATTCTTGGAGCGAAACTCTTCAGAGGACTCGCCGGTCAATTGTTTCGCTTTGATTTCGTTCATCACTCGCGCCAACTCTTCGCTGTCCACGAGTTTGGCCAACGATCGGACAGAAGTGTAGCCCGTCTGCAGACTTTGGTCACCATCGGTGGTGTCCATTGGTGTCCCGCCGGCCGCAGTGTTGGGGCCGCCGGTGGAGGCCATGGCTGCCATCACGTGCTCGTCGTAGTCATCGTCGCCGTCGGCCTCCAAATCGGCCAACAGTTCGTCGGCTAAAGACATGATTGAGTGATGGCTTTGCGGTGACGGCCGAAGAGATTGTCAATCAATGGAAAGAACCGATCGTTTGGTTTTCGTTACGATATGTTTGTATTGAAGACAACAAAATAGTCTTCAATTGAGTGTCACTGCGATTATTGGCCGCAAACACGTGTCGACCCAAACGCACGTGCGTTGAATTGTGGGCACAAAACACAACAATGAACTCAATTAACGATTAAATGAATGGCAAAACAAAACTCATGTTTTGCTTTTCAAATGATTGCCAAACAATTGATTTTCAAAACACGTTTTCCACACAAATAACGATTGGTTTTGGATTTTTCATAGAAAAAACTTTTTACTGTATTTTATTGTAACAAACATTTAATTCATTTGATTTGCAATTAATTTATAAATCAATTCGTTTTGGGAATAAAAATATTAATAAATTATATCCTAATATCACAGGCGAGCCGTCAATTGGGACTAACGGTTCCCTTCAGGTAATAATAACTCGCTTTGTAGACACAGAAGTCTTTGAGTAGTTTAGCGCAAGTGGTCTCGTAGTTCTTGTCGCCGCAGACGAGCTGCCGATCCCTTACTTCCTCCACAAAAGTGGTCACTCGGATGCGCGTCTGGTCGGCGAACATCTCGATCAACGCCTCCCGAAACGCGTCCAAAGGGTCGCCGAATTTGGTCATCGCGTAGAGCGGCTGTTGTGGCGAATTCTGGGGCCACTTGTTCTGCACGCGAAAGCCGCCCGACTCTCGTACCGAGCGTTCGATCACGTCTTCGGTCACTCCAAACCACATCCCATTATTGGTCGCTTCGGTGACCGAACGCCGCAATTCTTCGGTCGGCACACAAAACGTTATTTTCAGTCTCTCGTGAATAGCTTTCACTAACTCTCGGGTTTCGTCGACAGACGGACACGGATTGGGTGTGGGATTGATCTCAAATACGGCCACTTTCGGCGATTTCGATCGCCGCCGCTCTTTGGTCAGCGCTGGCATAGCATTCACCGCCGATGTCGTCGAGTTCTTGCGTGTCTTAACCGGAGATTTGCGGTCTTTTCTCATTTTAGTTGGACTACAGTTTAACTCCGATTCTAACGCTTCCATAACTTCTTTATCTTCGGCGCTGCCGATGGAAGCGGTCGACCCTTTCCGAGAGTTTCTGCGTTTCCGCGGCTGAAGTATTTTGATTGTCACCGCATTCTCGGCTTCTGTCTTAACAGTGACCGGAGTGTTGGACGTGTAGTCGCGCTCTAACTTAGCACACAATGTAGACCACAATAGTTGCTGTCTTTGCACGACTGCCGGATATTTGGCCACAAAATTGAGGTCATCGGCGAAAGCGAATGACCAGACTTTGGTTTGAGTGTCGCGAACAGCCATTTGCTTGAGAATATCGACCACATCCTCGTCGGGAATGCGTTTCCAACCGCTCGGGAAGAGGTCTTTCTTCAACACAGACGGCGTTTGAGTGAATCTCCAAATGATGTAATCTCTGGTCCGACACAACAGAGCGATGGGAATGCCTGTGGAGGCGCTTCGGGGACACTGTTTGGCGTCATAGAGGACCTCACTCTTGACGACCCAATGGCCGCGAACTAGTATTGCATACATTTGAATGTTAATCAACACTTGAGAGGTATCAACGGTTTGGCCCTTCAATAAACTCATTATCTCGTCAAACGATAAGAGTTTGGCGTTTATTAGGAGCTGTCGGACCTGATCGCTGACTGGAAGCGTATTGATTCGCGCCAGTGATGACAAGTCTGAAGCCGTGGATGTCTGAGAATTGGGTTGAGTAATGGTCTCAGAAGTGGCCGACGACTCGTCAAAGCACTTGAGTTTTGTTAGAAATTCTTGAAGACTAGAGACTGAAGACTGACTATTAATGCCGTCGCTGTTATCGTCCAAAGAGTTGTACACTAATGACAGCCTACTGTCCGACGATAACTGGCTGTTCATTGGGTGACACCGGATAGGAATCCACGGGTCTTTGGCCAGCGTTTGCTGCAGATATGCGAACGAGTTCTCGCGGGCCTTACGCTTCTTGTCCTCATCGGGTCCGGCGAATCGCATCGTTATTGTCTGAATGTTTGACGGCGTCTGCGCCTCCGCCTCGTCCTGCGACGACAGCTCGGCCTCAGACTCTTCGTCGCCGCCACCGGAGGCGCCGGTCTTTGGTTTAACGCCGGACGAGACTTCCGTTGAATACTTTTCGTCCAAATAATTGAGTTTCGGTTTGAATTGAATGACAGATTGAATGGGATTTAAGTGCACTTCTGGACAGTCGGGCCGAATGACGGCAACACAGTATTGCGATAGAGTTGGCCGCACTTCCACTGATTTGAGCACTTGTTTGTCGAGTCGACGTGGAATCAGATCCCTTTCCCTGTCTCTCGATTTCTTGGGCTCTGCTTTGGCCTCAACGGCGGCCAAATAGCGGCCAAACTGTTCGCACTTTTTCTCATCAAAGTTACCACTTTTGTTGTCCAGTTTGGACTCAATCTCAAACACCCGATGATTAGGTCTGGCCTTAACGGCCACTCCGTTATGATGGCTGTGGTTAGCGATCGGCGACTCCTGTGACCAATACTGAAACACGTGAAGACTCGATGAGAGGCTTGTGTTGAGATACACATCCACTTCATCCACCACTTCGTCGTCGTCCGTCTCCATTGTCACCACCTCTTAGTCGTCCACCACTTCCTCCGCAGTCGAAGAGCGCACAGAAGATACCAATTGACCGGTCGTTCAAACAATAGACACAATTGTTTTGCACTTAAAACTCGGCTTTTTTCGCACAAAACACACGTTTTTTGGTTCAAATGATTTCTTTTGATTGTATTTTCAATGTTTTATTCAATTAAATGTGATTTTAATCGCAAAATGTGTGCAAAAATCTGAAGCAATGTTTTGTTGAATTGAAAAACATTTTTGAGTTGTGTTTTCAAAAGTGAATGTTTTTACGGTTCGGAAGTCTATTACGTCCGCTAATAAAGTGTGTGTTTTGCACACAATTGATGATTGGCTGCAGAATCCGGTTGATTGCCAAACAAGAGCTAATTGGCGGTCGTATTAGTGCCACAATTTGACCAAACATTAACTTATTTCCTACTAAATTACCTGAACTGATCACCACTGCCTTGTAATTAGTTTTATTGATTAGCCAATTGTGTTCAATAATGTCCGCACTAATAGTTGTATGTAATTGTATCTAAAGAATTGAATTAACTAAAGTTGTATAATATTACCATCATATTATAAATATATGATTCTTATACTGTATTTACCTATTAATTGCCCAATTGTGGAGGCATTTAACCCTTCAATTAATATCTGAATACATATCAGCAGTTGATCCCACCCTCCAGTCCTCCTTTTTAACTATACAAAAGTTGGTCATTCAGTTGTAATGCAGAATCAGAATGTGCAACATATTATGTACATATTATGTACATATTATGTACATATTATGTAGTGTGTATGCCATACAGTGTATGGGATTGTATTTTCCACTACTCCTATATTTGTATTATACAGCAGTAAATAGTTTAATAATATACATTTACATTTAATGTATTATATTTTAATCAGTTTTTGAATCCCATTTAATCCCATTTCTGCACTTATCTGTCACAACAAACTGATTGATTGTGTTTTTCATACCATAAAAATGATATTAAATACCTTTCCATACAATTTGCTCTAATTTCCTCTATTATAACATTTATATCAAATAAAAAACTATTTTTATTCACATTTTAAGAATTATATTAACATGAAATCAAATATTAATCGTTATATACAGGAATGAATAATATGAATGGTATATAAATTACAATACATTTTGCTTTGCTAGGTGACACATTTAGGCATACAGTACTAGGTTATATAAATTCATTTTGCATTCAATATTTAAATAGAGAGAGAGAGAGAGAGAGAGAGAGAAGCTTCATTATAAAAACCAGTAGTTTTAATGTTATTTTCCACAAGAATTTGATTGAAGTGTTTGTTATTATTAACTCTATTTTTGTAGTGAATTATATTCT